CAAAATTTTCCAGCGAGTAAAATCCAAAGTTGATCTTAAGTATACTTTCAGATTTCATACTTTAAGGCCCAACAAAGTCAATGATCTTACATGGTGAAGTTGGAGACGTATGCCCCGGCCGGGAGCTGAAACTGGAAGACCCCCTCAGAAGCGGCCGAATGGCGGTTGAGCATGGCGCAGTACACCGCCGTGAAGGCATAGCGGGAGATGATGGTGGTCTTGATGGAGAGCTCCTGTATGAGAGGCTTGATCTCCTATAGGAAGGAAAGTCATTCAATATTCCCTCTCCTCCCGGAGTATGATCTGGAGCGGAGTTTCTGCTGGTGCATTTGGCACAATTTACGCACGGCTTTTTGTGCGTATCACAACTAAATGAAACTATGAAAACTACGCACCCCCATTTGAAAAAAAATAATAAATACAACAAACACAATGCAACGCACCCGGAGACAGATGAACCCCCACACGATTACAATGACCAAAACAGTCAATTCGATGACTTAAGATTCAGAACATTACAGATGCTTTTGGCGTGGCTCCCACGCGTTACACCCGCCAGAAAATATGGGATCCACTTCAAAATGACTTTAACTAGGTCATCCATTATTCACTAAATATGCAGTTTATTCGAATTTATTTTTGACATTATTCATAGTCTTGCGCATTCATACGTATTCAGATGCTCCAGGTAAGAGGACCTCGGTTCTTGTCCCCCTGTTACTGCAGATCAAGGATTAAAAAAACAATATAAAAATACATTTCTCTTACCTTTGCCAATATGTTTTTGACCTGCCGAGGGACTCTACGTGGTGCCTGCATACAAAAAAGATGATTATAAGATCGCATTTAAAAACCAGCACGGGCAACTTCTGGAAAACACCTTACAATGTCCAAATCGAAGTCTGTCAGGTCCACATCATCCTCAAACTGCGGTTGGTCAAGTTGTCCCTGCGCACAAATGAGACCGAGGTACAGCTGGAGAGCCAACAGCAGCATGGTGCACTTACGGTTCATCAGAAACAACTCCAACAGAGCGACCCTAACAAAACGGAGGAGACACCATTTCCAGCGTCTTCAAGGGCGAGTCGAAATACGCGTCTGAGAGAGTGGAAGACGATGCAGAGGAGAGAGAAAGAAAAAAAACGCCCTCCTCCTGCAAGGGAGAGATGCAGGGCTTGCTCCCTCCAAGGAGACCCGGACAAGGAGGAGGTGCAAAACTATCCCTGTTTGGTTGGAATAAGTAAAGAAATCATTAAAGCATTATACATTTAAACTTGCAAACTTTGCCATCACTTGCCACGAATTAATAAAAGTAGTCACAAATAGGAGTTTAAGGACTGTTTTCTAGGCCTTTCAGTTCTTTTTACCCCACTTGTCTAGTTTCCTCAGAGATAACTTGCTAATCTACTCACCCTTTAGGAATCACCTGCTAAAATGCTCATTTTAGGTTGGATTTACCATTGTCTATATGTGCAACTGAAGAAACAAAGGGACCAGGTGAAAAGGTGCTTAGAGATATAATTAAGAGTCAATAAATACTAGTTCAAGCCTAATATTCTCCTTTTCAAAAGTAAGGGTGCTAAAAAAAACAGGTTCATTTAGTAAATGGTCAGGTTGAAAGAGTGGTCTGAAAATATGTTAAATAGCAGCCAGCATCCAAAGAATTAAAAACAAAAAACTCAAAAGGCCTTCAGGAACCCTGGTGAACATTTGCCTGAGACCATTTTTATTGATTGAGAGAAAGTCCGGTTACTTGCAAGGAAAAAAAAGGAAAAAGAAAAGAAGGTTTGCAAAAGACTTCCATATTTCTCTTTGCCGTTTACTCTGTACACACAAAGAGACATCAACCAGGAAACCCACCCAATAATGATAAGCCAAGTTCACTGAGGGAAATGTCTGTTCTGCTTTTGGATCAGTTTTAGCCCCAACTTTTTTGTTCTTTTTTCCTTTTTTTTTTAGAGTGCTGATGAATATGTTTTGACCCCTAAACCCATTTATTTGTTTAAAAAAAAAAATCTATCACGGTTGGAGCCCAGCTGTCTTTGGGTGAGGCGAGAGGCGAGGTACATGCTGCTTAGGTCACCTGATAATTTATCGCCACTAATGAGCCTCACAGGTATGCTTTTGGATGGTAGGATGGAGATGGAGTATGCAGAGAAAGCAAAAGTAGAACAAACTCCCAACAGGAAGGCCCCCAGTGGGGATTGCTGTGAAGAGACGGTAGTAATCGTTACAACCCCCTGCAGCTTAGAAAACAACAAACCAGGCAAAAACAATATAAGATATTGTTAAAATGGCAATGAGAAAATGCTGTATTCTTGGTTTTAAATGTGATATCTGTACTCTATCTCATTCAGCAAATTGAACATGAGTTCTGTTAAAGAGCGTGTATTCTGTTTATCTAAATTTCATTAAGTTTTTATAAATTTAGTGCCAAATCAAATCAAATGTGATCCCAAGGATGTAGAAGCGTCTGTTTATTGTACCCCAATCGTAAAACAAATCAAATAAATTAAACCCCAAATTGAGAGCAATTAATATGTTGTAAAGTGACTGCATAATTATGAATTAAACCATAACATGTTTTTCCCTTAAAAAGATAAAGCATTGGAAAAAAGGAGAAAGTCGAGGTTAAGTGTGAGCCGTTGAGATAGCTTTGGTGCCATCTTGTGGGTAAAGTGTGGTATTACAGCTTTCTTTAGTAAAGAACAGACGTGTCGTGGATCTTCCCCAAAACAGTGAGGGCATTAGAGGGAGCTGCCACTTTTCAGATCAGTTTATTTTCACATCCCATCTGTGGCAGATTTCTGATGTAAAACCTCGGTTGGGTCCCGAACAACTCAAATCTGTCCTGTTTATCCTGCCCTCACCCCACAGGTCAGGTTTCAAAGTTTCCTTCTCCCCTCTGGGTTGCATGAAACATCACAAATATTGACTTGGGCCGGGGAGTCGATCAGTTCAGTGGATTTTAACCTCCGGTTTTTCGGCTCAGCTGTGTTTTCACAGGTCTCCCCGCAGATAGATCGGTCCCACTGTCAGTGCGTTTTTTTTCCCCTTTTTTCTAAATGTGTGTGTGAGGACATGAGTGTGTGAATCCACAGGCCTGGAAACATGAGGCGTCTGCTGCTGCTTCTTCAGGGGCTCCTGATCCTCCATCAGAGCTGCGGCTTTGAGTTTGTGATAGACGGAGAATGGGAGGACGAGGTGGTGAGTTGGAATTTTTCTTGAAAGCCAGACTGAGAGCCAATACATTGATTCAGGACCAGATGCTCATTGATTTTTCATCTAGTAGTTATTATGAGTTGTTTTGAAGAAGTAGCTTCACTTTTTTAAAGAAAATTGTTGCATGTATTGGCTATTAATCTTATTGCCTTGAACATACTGCAAAAGAGTAAACAGTGCAGAACCTAAAACCATATATTCTTTAGATGAATTGTTCAACGACAAACAAACAAATCTGAACATAAAAATATTGCATTGACGTCCAGATAATTCAACTTACATTAATCCTCTCAAATGATTGATCATACTTTTAATCATTATGCTATTTAATTTATGCTATTTATTTAATTTAGTTGCTATTTAGTTAGTGCTTAGTTTGAGCTATTTAAGTATAATTAAATCTATCAAAGCCTCCTTTTTATTTGCTGGCAAACCAGAAATATGTTATGATAACTCATGGTGTTCATAATGATAACAATTTTCTGTCTCCCATTAGTCACACATACCTGACCATTTTGAAAGACACAAGGTAAGAACTCGATCCATACAGTTTGACTTTTGTGCATTTTGTTTCTTAGGCAGCAAAAACAGCCTTTCTGATGTCTGAACACTAAATCGATCTGCATTTTACTGATTGCAAAAAGAACAAAACAGAAAAACAAACAAACAAGGCATCATCAACAAAAACAAAACCACAGTAAAGTGGATTCTTCTCTTGTGAAAGCTTACATTAATTTTAAAAAATAGAATACATTAACCTTCCTCAAAAGGTTTATGAGAACAGTATGAAACGTATAACATTTGTGTGCTTGTGCTTTGTCCAGAGAGCAATTTTGACCAGCGAGGAGGAGGAAGACTTTGAGGTATGACGGGACGCTCACTGTTTCCTCACTGTGACAGAGTTGAACCTATCTCATAATCAATATGCTGCTGTTTGGCGAGATCCTTGTGACTGATAGGTTATTGACTTTGCTCCCTGCGGATCCTGCTCTGCTTCCCTTATATAAAAAAAAAACACACTTCTCTGTTGGAAATCAGGTTGTTGTGTCAGGTTTTTTTCCCCCCTTTTGCCTTTATGAATAAACAATAAGAAATATTTCAAAAAGGGATTTTATGGGTTCTGCTCAGATTTCAAACAAAGCACTTTTTAAGTGTATATTAGGTTTTTGAAGACAAGCACCAGAGCGGGTTCAAATGGGTAAACATGGAGAAAAATGACTAAATTGACCATTAGCCATCACCCAAATTGTATCATCCTCCCCAACTATGTAAAATGATCAAATCTAGAATCAGCCCGTGACTTAATTTCCTTTCTCCAAATCGTGTTTCAGAGATGATAACTCATCGGAGTTATATTAGATGATAAATAACTTGTCTCACGTTGTCGTTCCTTTCCCTCGTAGGCCATCCGTGGAGATGACATCACCGTCAAGAGCTACAAGATGGAGAGCCGCATCACGTCGCGCTTCGCCCACACCACCGTCAGGAGTTCGGTGGTCAACTCCGGCACCAAAGCCCAAAGCATCGCCTTTAACGTTCAGATCCCCAAACGGGCCTTCATCTCCAACTTCACCATGTGAGCCCAGGGGGCTGTCCGGCCACGGCGTTCCCCACGCCAGCGATCTCACGCTGTCCCGATCTTTCCCCGGCAGGAACGTCAACGGCATCACGTTTGTGGGTTCGGTGAAAGAGAAGACCGTGGCCAGGAACCTGTACGCCCAGGCCCGAGCCAGGAACAAGGCGGCGGGGATCGTCAGGTGTCGTGACCGGCCTCCTGGACGGAACTCCTTGTGGAACAAAACAAAAACGGAATTGGTTTCTCTCTCGCAGGTCTAATTCCCACGATCTGGAGACCTTTAAAACGGAGGTCCACGTTCCCCCGGGCAGCAACATCGAGTTTGAGCTCCACTACCAGGAGATGATGCAGAGGAAGCTGGGCATCTACGAGCACTCGCTGCACCTGCAGCCCGGGAGGCTGGTGCCACAGTTCCAGGTGAGGAAACATCGCAGCTGACGTCCGCCCGTGCCCCCAACAACGCGGTCGACCTCCGATCCATATCTCTCCCCAGGTGGATGTGTACATCTATGAGCCGAGGGGGATCCGCATGGTCCAAACACCCAACACACTAGGAGCCGCGTTTGAAGAGCTGATTAAGGTCACCACCTCCAAAGACAAGGTAAGCCTGAAAGGCGGCCGGACGTGTCTGTGTTTGTTGTGTTTTTCAAAGAAAATGTACAGACCCAGATGTGGCGCATCGCAAAGTCTGTCAGGTAGCTTGGCCTTTTGCCAGAGTTCATTTTGAATGGGCAGATTTAATTTTTTTTTCTGGTTTCCAAAAAATTTAAATGGGATTTAGTTAATGAAACAAGCCTATTTCTTTTACGGCACTCTCAAACCAGGACAATCACTTCAAACTTAACCATATGAGATGAAATACATTTAGTTCTAATGTGCCTCAGTAATCTTTTAATTTCATGATTGGGTGCCATCAGGACCAGCAGGCCAAGTTTAGATGGGCCAATTTAGGAGAGTGTGGTTTGTATTTTGTATGGGATCAAATTCTTATTTCTTAACTCTGAGGATTCCTATATTTTGGCTTTCTATTCTCCAACTTTGGAATCTTTGTCGTATTATCATAATTACACATGTCCCAGCTGTGTCGAAAAAATGATCTTAAGACTTAAGCTGAAAACATATTTTTTTCTTGATCTTTACACACATATTTTATCACACAACTTTTAAAAATGACAATAACTTGAGGTCAGATGAGAGCCTCGTACTTGAAGTTTTGTCTTTATCCAAAGATTCCTGTTTAAAGTCCTGATTTCTTACATTTCTTACGTCCCCCACAGATAGTTTAGTTTCCCTCTATACTGAAAATTTGTCTCCTTTTCTTTTATCCACAGGCTCACATTGTCTTCAAGCCCACCTTACAGCAGCAGAAAAAGTGCGAAAACTGCACGACCAGCGCTATCGATGGCGTCTTCACCGTCCTGTATGATGTGACCAGAGACAGCAACGCTGGAGAGCTGCAGGTGTCGCACACTCGTGCTCGTTCAGCGTTGTGTCAGAATGTTACTTTTGAACACGGACGGAAGTTCTCGTTGGACGCGAGCGCCGTATGAGCCTCCGCTGTTTCTCCTCAGGTTTCCGATGGCCACTTTGTTCACTTCTTCGCGCCCTCCGAACTCTCCCCTCTCCCCAAAAACATCGTGTTTGTCATCGATGTCAGCGGGTCCATGTGGGGGGTCAAGATGAAGCAAGTGAGTGACAGCTGTTCACATCTGGATGGACTTTGTCCTCAGTGTTGGTCCTCATTTTTCTCATTTGTGACTTATGTTTACGCATTTAGCAGACAATTTTATCCAAAGAGACTCACAAAGTAGACACAATTTTACAGTTATCATCAATATGACAATAAGTTCTCTAGAGGAAAATCCCTAGTCAGAATCAGTGGTGGCAGCAAGATAGAGAGAAGGAAGTGCAGAAAGAGTAGTAGGGGGGTACAAAGGTATGGATAGGAGTCAGGATAAGAGATGGTCTTTGAAGAGGTGGGTCTTTAAGAGTTTCCTAAAGATAGAAAGGGACTTATCCACCTTCGGTAACACGCTGTTTTGCGCCATACACTTGCTTTCTAACTTCTCTTCCAGACAGTGGAGGCCATGATGGCTATTTTGGACGACCTGACCGTGGACGATCACTTCAGCATTGTAGACTTCAACCACAACGTGCGCTGCTGGAGCGAGGAGCTGGTCCCCGGCACCTCCATCCAGATCGCAGACGCCAAGAAATACATCCAGAACATCAAACCAAATGGCGGTATGACGGACTCTTATGTGCTGACACACATGAACAAATGCGACCGGCAGTGACCGCGTTTGACCGACACCCAGGCACCAACATCAACGAGGCGCTCATGAGAGCAGTCCAGATGCTGGTGAGGGCATCCAACCAAGGGCTCATCGATCCTCGCTCCGTCTCCATGATCATCCTGGTGTCCGATGGAGACCCCACCGTTGGTAGGATCGGTTCACTCAAACTAGAAATACTGAAAGATACCAGTATTCATTCTTTGGTCTGACGAAATAAGGGAATACAAATCGCTCCCCCCGCAGGCGAGATCAAGCTCAGCACCATCCAGAAGAACGTGAAGCGGGTGATGAGAGAGGAATTTTCTCTCTTCTCCCTGGGCATCGGCTTCGACGTGGACTACGACTTCCTGGAACGTATCGCCATGGAGAACCGAGGCGTGGCTCAGAGGATCTACGCCAACCACGATGCCGCCGAACAGCTGCGGGTGCGGTGAAAAACTTCCAGTCTTTAAGCTCAAGCCCTCTTTTTTCCTTTTAATCAGAAAAGTCTGAAATCTGTTCTGTGGTACTTTTTGTGAATGTAGACTTGAATTGAAAAGTTCTGTTTTACCAATATAGTTTTACTCTCTCATGAAGTGACAGTCAAAACTTAGTTTGGTTTGATTTGTTGGGTGGGTCATTAGAAGTCAAAGCATAGGAACTGTTTTCAACATTTTTCCAAATCACTCTGCAATATTTATATTACTACTACCACTACTACTAATAATATTAATGTTTCCCGCATATGGGCAGAATTTATGTGGAGTAAGAGCCATTTGAAAATCTTTCAAAAATATACAATAAAGTTTAGGGGGGACAAATACCAAATGATATAAGATTGTGTAGAGTAAAATTTACTTGAAGTAATATAATAAATGTTATCTGCCATAAAGAAATACTTTTTAACAGGAGAACCATACATGGACTTAAAAATTGGGTAGAATCTCTGTGTTAAGATGATGGGAAAATAATTTAGGTCTTCCATTTAAATGATAAAAGTTGATAATTTTTTGGGCACATCTCTCGGTACAAACTGAGAATCTTCCCCCATGTTTCTTTGCAGAAATTTTACAGCCAGGTTTCTTCTCCTCTATTGAGAAGGATCACCATCCAGTTCCCGGAGGACTCGGTCAGCGACGTCACCCAGAACCGCTTTGATAAGTACTTTCAGGGCTCAGAGCTGGTGGTGGCCGGGAAAGTGCTGCCGTCAGACAGCAGTACGCTGAACAGCTTCACCACTGCGTCAGCCGTGAGTCTAACACAGCACCGAGCCTCAGACACTTCCTCTGTGAGACCCGTTCAGCAGATCAGTTCCTGACTGTCTAAGCTGTGGGTTCCTTTGCTAATGTCAGCCAGAATTTTTGATTTTGGTTCAACCCTTTGCAGTTTCCGATTATTATTCAAATTCAAATGTCGTTTTGATTCTAACAGAAAACATATAGGTGACCATCTATGTTCCTCAAACCCCTTTTTCCCCCACTATACATCCCAGTGCACTAACCACAGATTCTGGAATTCTAAAAGCATTCACAGTCAACACTCAACATTCAGTCAAAGCCGTTGGCCAAATGCACTGCGTTTTCGTCGATTACGCCAAGGCCATTGGACGAAAGTTACAGGAAAGAACCTGGGACACTCGTTTCTTTTTCTTTTCTCCTCATGTTGACCTGCAGGCCCGTCTGGACATCACCTTGATGACAGAGACGGACGTGACGGAGCTGGACGGTGAGCTGGCCAAACAGCAGCACTCGTTTACTGGCTTTGCCAGACAGATGTGGGCTTACCTTACCATCAAACAGCTTATCAGTGAAAGGTGGGACACTTGGGAGCATCGTCATGAATACCTGAATATAGTCCTTATTTTTTAAGGTTCTTTATTTGATCTTATGTACATTACACATTCTGTCTACACTTATTTCTTCATTTGGCAGCGCATTATGCAATTACACTCTTAAACATTAAAAGGGAGCTGGCCAATTAGAGCCCACAGGGTTATTGAAGTGTATATAGATCCCTTACAGGCAAATGGAGGCAAATGCTACTCCACGAGCCACCAAATCTTGACATTTGAAAGCATGGCAGACTGATAATAACTCTACATACCTACACATAGTGAAATGAGAAGAAAATATCCACACAGGTTGACTTCTTGACCATTTCATCATAACTCATGGTGAAACGTTTAGATCCGATGGCCTGTTTAGTTTGGTGTAGATAGGCCAGTAGAGTTTGAATAAACAGTGAACTTGGCGTGTTGTAGGTCCATGGCTCCAACAGCTGCCAAGAAGAGGAAGATCACACAGAAGATTATGAGTCTAGCTGTGGAGCACCAGTTTGTCACCCCGCTCACTGCCCTGCTGGTGGAGAGCGAGGATGCCCAGGAGAGGCTTCTGGCCGATTCTCCGAAGGATCCCAAACAAGGATGTTGCCCAGGTGCCTGACCAAATGCAAGCACGATCATGCCACATTTTTACAAAAACTGACGCGTCGCGGTAAAAGAAAAGACTGCTCCGCATGATAGATTTGCCTCGGAATCCAGAAGGAGAAACGTTTCATGAACAAAATTGCCCTGAACTGATTACTCACACACAGGAGGAGGAATGACGGGAGGATCTGCGTTTGCTGGTCCTGCCCCCGTGTCGGTCGTCTACCAGCCTCCACCGTGGGTCCACGTCACCACTCCGGCCCCCCCACACTCGATCGAGAAAGGTCCAGTGGAGTGGACCGTTCCTGAAAAGGTTAATTTAGGTAAACCCAGCACACACACACTTTAAGAGCATCGTCACTCTTTTGCTTGAAGTGTAACCGGCTCGGCCTTTACTCACTCAGTGGATAACGACCCTCACTTCATCATCCACCTGCCCGGGAGTGACATGGACGTCTGCTTCAATATCGACTCCAAACCTGGTCATATTCTCAACCTGGTGTCAGATAACGGAACAGGTAACACACACACTCACACACTCATATATTTAAATATACTGTAATTGTGTTTTGCCCAGTTTTTCCTTGAGCGCTGCCCATTTTAGGTGACACAGTCCAAACTGGCCTTTTAGGCCTCTCATATTTCCCTCTTTTCTCCATTTGACAGAATCATGGTAGCATTTTCTTTGCTTTTAAGTAAAAGTGGTCATCGAGCCACTCAACTGGGGCACTTGGACCATTTGTATGGAGCAAGGACCACCGCTAGTTGATCACTAAAATGAAAACGGGCCCCTATTCCTTCAAAAGCAAAGGGTTAGGGGTAAAGGAGGAACAGGGATTGGGTCAGAAAGCACATGCATTACAGAACTGCTGGTTATTTAGGATGGAAGGCTTTTTGAAAAGCAGCTAGAATCAGCATAAAGTGGTTTGCACCAGTGAATATGAGATTTAACCAAATTTAACTGGGATTTAGGACAAAGAACCCCTAAACTGCTCTAATGTTCACCTTTTTTACTTGATGTGAGGCCTGGGCTGCCATTGACTCATTTGAATTGGTGAGTTGCATTTTTTCAATCAGTGAAAATAAAATATTTGTTGAGTATTGTATGCTTGATGGGAACATTTCTTGAAAAGTTTAAACGGGAGAGCAGTTAAACTCATATGATTAACTGGCAGCTGGTCAGAATAGGGTCTAAAAAGAGGACCTTGCAGAGGCAGAGCCTCTCAGGAGTGAGGCTGAACAAAGGTTTATTTTTCTTGAAATTCTACATGAGCTTGCATCTCATTATGTGACATAAGTTCTACTTCTCTAACCCACCTTATGTCCTGAAGGTGTTGTGGTGAACGGGCAGTTGATTGGCTCCAAGCAGCAGCAGAAAAGCAAACTCCGCACCTACTTCGGCATCATCTCCGTCTACTACCAGCCAGAGGGAGTCAGTGTGACGGTCAGCACTGACCGCATCACCGTAAGCGACGGTAGAAGCAGGACCTCCTTCACCTGGGGGGCCACGGCCGAAATCACTCAGGATGGGTAACCGAAACGCCTCCCACCGTCCCCCCCATTTGCTGCCGGTTTGGTGTAACACGACTGCATTTCTGTCGTAGGGTGAGGCTTTCGATTATGAAGAACTCTGCAGCCACCATCACGATAAACGATGATATTCAGGTTACGGTGCTGCTTCACCGCGTGTGGAAGAAACATCCCGTCAGCGTCGACTTCCTGGGGGTTTACATTCCCAACGAAAACCATTATTCCCCACTGGTACATGGACTCATAGGTAGACCTATGAAATGCACCGACAACACAAACTTCCCGATACCATAAAGAAGCTGTAATGAGACAATTAATCTGTCCTTGAGCTGTCTTAGTGAACAGTATACATGTTCAAGCTTTAATATTTATGAGTAAGGACGACTTTCTGAATTACATCTTACACATGGCACAATTATTAATATCTATATGTAGAAATAGATCATGTCGGGGAGCGTAATGATGTGAACCCGAGCGGTGGATGGTTGTTTATATCTGTACCCCTGTGGGTGTAAAAGCCTCCAAGTCAGGTCGGAAACTCTAACCATGGCCATTAAAGAAGCCGCGGATTGTGCGTCCGCTCATCCACCGTCATGATCTACAGCTCGGCTCATAAACTGACCCAAACAAATGTGATCCGACAGGCCAGTTTTCCAGAGAGCCCGTGGTGAGCGTGTACGACATACACGAGGGAGCCGATCCCCTGAAGAACGAAGCCACCATGGAGGTGAAAGGCAATCAGCTGCGGGTCACCAGGTACTTTCACGGCGCACATAAAGCCCAGTTGTAAAACGGGTCAGGTCGGTATCTTTGATTGTTGCGTTTCTTTGTGCGTCAGGGGCTGGCAGAAGGACTACAGGCACGACAAGAAGCGTGGCTCCAACATCTACTGCTGGTTCATCCATAACAGTGGGAAGGGCTTCATTGACGGCCATTACACCAGCTACATTGTGCCAGGCCTGAACAGCTTCCTCCAGATGCTCTGAGAGGCCTTAACCTCTTTCAAATACCTGCGCTACTATCAAGCTCTGGGTCAGTGATGATGTGAAGAGAGTAACAATTTCAAAAGTACCTGAAAACAATAACAATAATAAAAAAAAGCTGTATTTTCCACAACACAGAAGTCGCATTTATCAAATTTATTTCGGCAAAATTTTACATTTGCAATGTCAATGTCAACCTGAATGTTGTCAGACGGGGGAAAAAAATCTAATAAAAAAGTTACAAAACAAATTGAAGACATTGCCGAAAGTTTCCCTGATTTCTCTTGTAGGCGAGTTGTGGGGTGTGTGTTTGTGTGTATGTATATGTACAGGTGAATGTCTAGGAATGAACTCTGACACGGTAGAGTCCCTCGGCCTAAAGACTGACTGAGGATAAGGAGGAAAGTTTGCTGTGTTCACGCCAATTTTGAGAAGTCCTCGTACGCGATGCCCACTGTCTTCCCTTTCTGATGACCCTGTGGATGAAGAAACAGCGGCATTTTAACTTCAAGCACGGCTTCAGCAAAACATGTAGCAAACCTCTCTCCGGATTGGAGATTTAAACTTTGCTGCGTTTAATTGGCATCAAGGGTTAAAGGTGTCAGACTAAGGTGGCTTTTATGCCATTGCCCGTCAAAGCTTAATGCATGATTTCCCAAGAATTCCCAAGCTATTTTTACCTAAAAAAATAAAATAAAAATCTCTGTCTCCCAGAATTAAATATTTTGAGTATCACCACATACTGTGGTCCTCGGAGATGAAGCTATGCTAGGGTTATTTAAATGTATAAATCGCTCATCTCCGAGTCCGAGTCCCTTTATCCTTTAAACAACCAAGCAAACACTCCAGTGGATTTCATGGGTTATCATTTCTGGTTGTAAAGTATAAAAGGCACCTAAAGGAAAATAATAATAAATGTACTCAAGCGTCAACTTTACACCTTTACGCTTTTTGTTAAAACAGAACATAGTGAACTTGAATTTCCTGCCCCTCTCTCTCTGCTGTGCCCACTGACACCATACGTAGGCTCATACGGGCCCTGACTGGTTTACCTATTCATTTATTTTTTGTCAGTCTGATAAACGACTTTCAAAATATACGGACGGTTTGAGCAGACAGAGCAAAAAGTGACCAAATTCTCCCTGAAAACAGAGCATACGGCTTTAAGAAATTAGCCTAATCGTGAACCGTCAATTCGTTCTTTTTTTTTTGGTCCGAAGGATGCATTTCTAGTACACAGAGGGTATTGGGGTTTTGCCGATCGTTTGTAGAAACACTTACCGAGTCAAGTGTGAGTGTAGCGCTGAAGTTTTTCTCATCAATCCCCTCCAGCACGGCTTCTGTGTCTCTGTAGGGGCCATTCAGGATCAAAACCCGCTTCCCTGCAGGAAGTTTAACAACACTGTCACAGCTGGACCTCGTGACCTACGGATGGTAACTTTGGCCTAAAAGGGCTGAGAAGATGGACCCACCTGGTGCAGGTATCACAGTCTCCAAGTGGTTCTGATCCAGTTTCAATTTGTCTCCGGAGTCGACCATTTTCACCACTGCAGTGTATTTCTCTCGCACCTCCTGCGGCAAAAAAACGACCCACAGTTATTAACGACAAAAGCGTCCCCGCAGTGAACAATGATCCGAATCATTTAAAGCACTGTTACCGTGATGACGGCCTTCTTCTTGTGGTACTTCTCTCCCAGCCTCTTGGTGACGACTTTGACAACGATGTTGTTCTGTAGCCAGTAATCAGTTCTGACAGACTGCTTCTTCCTCTCCTCCATCTGAGCAAAAAAAGAACACAACAGAACAACCGATCAGAATACTTAGCGGCAGCCAATCCCAACCTAAAAAACAAAGGACATTCACAACCTCGATGATCTCCTCCAGGGCAGATTTCTTCTTCTTCTCCCCTCTAGAGTCCGAACCGGAGGACGACTCTTTCCTTTTAACTGAGGATGAAGTTGACGCCGCCGCTGCTGCTTTGAGAGCGCTGGCACCCAACGCTGAGCTAAAGAGAGACACAAAGACCCAGTTAGAGTGCGAAGGCTTCATTTACATCGTTTTCAACCCGCATGAAGTAATGCGTACCTTGATTTAGAGGGCCCAGCAACAGCGGAACCCACACTCAGGTTGAAAGTAACTGAAAGAAAAAAATTTGAAATGTGAGAACAAGGAAAAGTTCCCTAGATAAGGTTCCTTTATGCACACAAAAAAATAAAACACAAGGCTGACCTTTTTCTTCTTCGTTCTCTCGTTTAAGCTCTGTGTAAACTGGGTTTTCCTACAAAAGAAAAAAGCAAAAACAAAAAGGAATAGCATTATTTATCATTTACTTTGGCTCAGCCAACAGAGGACGGTGAGAGGCCATGACACTGATACTGACTTCAGTCTCCTTGTGGTCGCGGCCTCTCCGGACCTGCTCCTCGATGAATTTGGCACTCCTCTCCTCATCGTCCAGCTCTTGCTTTTTCTTCCTCGCCTGCTCCTCTTGGCGGCGGATTGTTTCCGGGTCGCGATCGATGTACTGGACGTACCAGCCTTTAGGCGTCTCGTCCACTTTGCACAAACCTGTCAGTTGTATTTAACAACTTAGAACAAATTCAGAGAAACACTCTTCTCTTTAGCTTGTGTTTGGTTCAAACAGCGACATTTGACATGCTCCGGTCATTTTCTAGAACAAAGAGGTGCACCCTGTCTATTGTATATTTATCTATGTCACACTTTTACAAGTTAGTTTCAATTATAAAGAATGATTCAATGACCAATCATACATCAACCACACACACACACACATAAAACTTTGACATCTAGATGAAAATACAGCTTTCTTCTTTATGGGCTCTATCATTTAGAGACTATAAAATTACTTGGTTTTGACATTTGGTGTTATGCTTGAGCAATTTTCCAATTCTATTTTGGAAAAAAAGGTGCATAATTGCAATCCTTGTCCAAACCACTACTGAAATTAAACTTCTCTCCAACAGCTCAGTCTGATACTCTCTATGTTTGTCTCTTTCCCTTGAAATGTTAATGTTCGCATCATGTTCTTTTTAAACAGCTTCTACCAGTCAGACAATTTGTGTAGTATTAAAAAGGAGGATGCCTTAAAATTAACTTTTATATTAGGAGATAATCTTGGATGGATTTTGTAGTTGCAACAAACCAATCAGCAAACTGTGCAATGCCAATAAGGAAATGCCCAACTTTTTAGGAGTCACAACAAAGTCTTACCCTTTCTTCCCAGCCATTTGGTGAAGTCAGTGAGAGTCTCCCACTGTGTGGAGTTCATGTGGACATGCTCTCTGTGACTGATGTACTCATTGTAGACGATGTTGTTGTGCACTCGCTTGGTTCCTGTTGATGAGACGATTTTTAGAACAAATACTTCCCCAGAGCCCTTTATATCGTCCAAATGACTCTTTTCTCACCAAAACGTCTCCTGAGCAGCTCCAAGAAGTCCCTTTTAAACTCACTGTGAAATAAAGACAGGAAACAAGTTTGTTTTTGCATCTGAAAAACCACAAACACGATTACATTTGTCCATTTATTAAGTCATAAACTCACTCTGAGAAATAGTCCATGAACTTTGTTGGGTTTTCTGAGGCCAGCAGCAGCTGTCTCTGGTGGGACTCGGACATACAGTGACATTTGAAGCCATTCTGTAAATAAACAGATACATAAACGTGAATTCAAAACATCAACAATTTCTAATAAACCTCTGTTCGACGGAATTCAACAACGTCTCACCTCGTCTCGGCATTGTTTTTGGCACATCTGGCAGTACCATCTCAACTTTTGTAGACCTTTGGCTTTTATCCGGTTGCCAATAGCTTTAGGGGATAGAAAATCCGCCTTCCCCATCGCTAACGCTTACAATAAACAAATATAACGCGTTAAAATAGTACAGTTAAAACAAGACTTCCCGAATTTTCTATAAAGGCTAGCAATCGATACACAGGCTACGAGCTACCAGGGTAAACCATTTCCGCCAATCTACGTCATAACCCCATGAACAAGCTTTAAAACTCGCGATAATATATGATGCTTTCAGGACTACCCAGTTGTTTTTTGACCAACCTAATTGGATAAATACAATGCTTTTTTTAAGTCAACGTTTTGTCACAGATGATATTTTCACGAATCGAACTGCGAACATAACACAAAATGTATGTAAAGAATTTGTTAATATCTAAACGCTTATCTTATTTTAAATAGGTAAAAACGGTGTTATGTGCTCCATCCGAAAAATAAGTTGATTGGAATATTTGCTTGCCAAGACGGGAAAAACTGAGTCCAGGATTTATTTCAATGTGAAACAAAAAATACTTTGAAAGCAGTGGTAAGTGTGAACTAATATTAGGTTTCCAAAGGGCATTTTTTTGCAAATGAAAAAACTTTCATTCTGATATATATTGCTAAAATCAAACAACTGTGGACAAAATGTTACATCATTAAACACAACAAAAGACAACTTGGGTACCCTGTATTTAATTTTATTCAAGGATTTTCGTTAGCACGCTTTTATCGGGTTGCTCATGCGAACTTTATTTAAAATTATTTTTCGATTGGCTCCTGAAGGCAACGGACGTCCATCCATTTTGACTATTACCTGCGCCTGCGCAGTCCTGTCTGTCTGACCTTCATAGGAGTAACCATGTTCGCCAGGACCAGCGCTTTGGTGTTCTCCCCACAATGGTAAAGTAACAAAATATTCCAAAAGACATTTAAGCTGTTTGTATTGTATGTTGTGCACACTCTCACTTATGCAGGTTTTAGATATGTGTGTAGCTTTTGCTAAGCACATGAAGGTCTTAAGTGCAAGGACGTGCTAACGTGTAGGCCGCAGCTAATGAATGACAGCAGTGTGCTCCGTTGTGAACGGGAAAACTCAACCGGCGAGATGCTAATGCTAGAGATCTTTGACATTGTTTGAGAAGTTAGAGACGAAACTCTACTACCTAACAAACCACATTCTCTGAGCATTTTATCCTTATGCACCATCAACGCAAAACAATTAGCCCAGATCAGTAAGCTGAACAAAGTTTTGTATGTGCAATAATGTTAGCATTTAAGCTAAAACTATGCTAGTGTACTTTTAACGTTAGCATGTAGCGTTATCTTCGTTGCAAAAGTTTAATTTCACGATTTATTTTCTGTATAACCCGTACAGGCTTGTGTCATAATTAGTACTTTATTCATTCTGTTATATTCTGTTAACAGTAGCTGTAATTGCTCATATGGGGTATTTCTCTTCACAGTGGGCAGGTCAGGAACATGGCTACCTTGAAGGACAGTAAGTATTGTGGAATTCTAACCTCTAACTTGAAACGGAAAAACGTTCATTACCATAATTTCATACCTGTCATAGCATTGGCAACACCTGTATGAATAGTATGGCAAATATGAATACTGTAACAAATGTCATTCAGCTCATCAGGCATCAGTTACAAGAATTAATATGCTGGCGTTTACAAGAACATACAAATCAAGCTTCATTTATAGACATATTTCAATTACTTTGTTATGCGCTACAAAAAATTGATATTAACATGAATATATCAGGTTTATCTTGCACCCAGATCCATTTTGTTGCAGTATGGGAGAACCCGAGAATGGGGTTTTGAGTAAAATATTACTTCATATAAGTGTTTGGATGCATTAACATTAGCAGATATTGAATCCAAAATGGCTGCAGTATTGAGTATTTGTTCCAACACAGAGCTACTGATATCTTGATATTAAGATAATTTTTAATTCTACAAATATTTTATTTTTCATGATTTAATTTCAAAAGCTGTTATGCCCAGTTATTTAATCCTTCTTATAATCAGCTAATGCCTTCCTTGATCAGTGGTCTAATGGTTGTCGTCATAATATCCAAATCTAATGTGATTTATTTCTCCTTTCACCAGTCACCATTCGGCTGAAGTCCATCAAGAACATTCAAAAGATCACAAAATCCATGAAGATGGTGGCCGCTGCCAAGTACGCTCGTGCTGAGAGGCAGCTGAAGCCCGCTCGTGTCTATGGCAATGGCGCTCTGGGTATGCCCTCGTATTGATCTGGATTTGAACTCCAGTGGTTGGTTAGATTTATCTTTGCCATCCTAAAATCCCACTTTTCCCTCTGCGCTCAGCCCTGTATGAGAAGGCTGAGATCGCTGTGCCTGAGGACAAGGCCGCCAAGCATTTGATCGTTGGGGTGTCCTCTGATCGTGGTCTCTGTGGGGCTATTCACTCCAACGTAGCCAAGACCATCAAGAATGAGATAGCTAATTTGACTGGCGCTGGAAAGGAGGTGATGGTGATCAATGTGGGAGACAAGCTGAGAGGCATCCTGCACAGGTACGAATAGAGAAGGGGTCCCATGTCAACCCTTATAGAGAAATGGTGGAAGACATGTAATTTGTTAGATAATATTGGTCTAGCTCAGGGGTCGGCAACCTTTTCTACTCAAAGAGCCATTTGGGACCGCCTCCCAATAAAAAGAAAGCACTTTGAGCCACAACCCATTTTGACGTCATATATATATAAAACCTATATGCTATGTACAAAAATCGATACTATGTTGCGTTTATGAAATCAACGAACTGCTGCAGAGAACACAAAATTTTATTTCTGCATGTAACAAAACGCATTTTACACTTTGCTCAATTGCAAACAAAATACCCTATTTGGGTCTTTGTATTTAAGAAATAAAAACCGAAACTTACCCAACCCGCACTGAAGGAAAAATAGAAACAGAATGCAGTCACCTGTCCTCCTCTTATTCAGGAGATAAAAAATCAAAACTTATTCAAATATTATCCACCGGCACTGAACGAACCATGCAAACCGAAAAATGTGCAGTCTGCTTCTGTGTCCCATCGCGTGTGTGCGGTCACCTGTCCTCCTGAATTAAAAAAAAAAGCCTTCAGCCTTCCGCATCAGCTCCGAAACAGCCTTTTTTCTCTCCTCTCCCTCGGGATATCTTTTAGCAAAGACAGAGTGTTTGTTCTCGAAATGTCTTTCAACATTTGACTTCTTGTTGTTTGCCAGTCTTTCGCCACATATTAAGCAGACTGGTGAACCAGTTTCATCAGCGGTGAAAGCAAAATGATCTGTCCACGTAGCATTAAATGTTCTGCCAATCTTCAGGATGTTTCCTTTTCTTAGATTTATTCATAATGTTTCTTCCAGGCGAGGGTCAAAAAGTCAATAAATCAGTGAGCTAAAAAATGCGGTCTGTCAGACATGTGGGGTATGCTAGGAATGCCTGTCGCACATCGGCGGACATGACGTATATTTTGGGTGCTAAAAATGTTCAAAACTTTTTGTTTTAATGTTACAAGTTTACCATAATCTTCAGATTTAGACATTTATTTTAAAATTATTTTAATTTATAATTTTTTAATGATTTAATTTTAATAAAATATTCTATTTCCCAAAGTCACTGGGAGCCACAACAGAAGGATGAAAGAGCCACACGTGGCTCCGGAGCCATTGGTTGCCGACCCCTGGTCTAGCTCCTTAGATGCCGAGTTGAGGAAGCCTCCAAATTCAATGAAACGCCATCCTGAATTACAAAATGACTTTATTTACAGAATTTTAATGCTGGAATGTCGCTTTTGATCTTGTCAGAACTCATGGTGAGCACATCATGCTGAACTGCAAGGAAATCGGCCGCAAGCCGCCCAGCTTTGGCGACGCCTCCATCATCGCCACCGAGCTGCTCAACTCTGGGTACGAGTTCGACAAGGGCACTGTCATCTTCAACAGATTCAGGTACAGTGCTTGGTGGAATCCCCACCCCCGCACAACATTTATTTGGATAATAACAGTGACTAGCTTTGTAAAAAGCAAGTTTTTAAAAAAAGAATTATCTTTATTTTTTGCATCTTTCAGGTCCGTTATCTCCTACAAGACCGACCGGAAGCCCCTGTTTTCCACAGACACAGTGGCCAACTCAGGTAATGCTTTATTTCACTCAAACCTGAGGCTGTAGCATCCACCGCCGCTCATCCACAGACCCGTTTTTTTGCCAACAGAGAACATGGGTGTCTATGACGACATCGATGCCGACGTGCTGAGGAACTACCAGGAGTTTGCAATGGTGAATATCATCTACCTGGCCATGAGGGAGTCCTCCACCAGCGAGCAGAGCGCCAGGATGACCGCTATGGACAGTGCCAGCAAGAACGCCTGTAAGATCCCGGCGGAAATCCTCACAAGTCTTCCAATAATGACTTTGCTTTTCTTTCCCAACTACTTCTGGCCCAGTCCCCAGACGAAGGCCTCATGATAGAAAAACAAAACAAAACATGAAAAATCAATTGGATGAATCGTAGCCGATATTTATCAGGGCATGGGATGTAATTTTAGACGAGCGGAAGCCGGTTTCAAAGCACAAAGGAAACTGTGAGGCAGCTGCTTTTTGTGGGACTTCATCTGCCAGCTGTGAAAAGTAAATCTAAAGTGACCGGTCTGGAACAGGATATAGCCCAGAACAGGATTTGGGATATACGTTCAGACCAGACTGAAATAATTTGTTAATCACCTTGCAAAGCCACCTCGTGTTCAACCTGATTCGAGGAGGTGTGGACTTGCTCGTTTACATGGGGGGTTTTGGTGTTTGCAATTAGCTGAAGGTTTGATGTGTTTATAGGACAGCGTTTTGTTTATTAATGGAAAGACTAGTACATATATATATTTTTTTTTTTCTTTTCAATTTATTTTATTTTTTTCCTGGGTTTAGTTGGTATCAAAGCCTTTGGAAAAATACTTTTTATTTGTCTTTTTTGTTGCTCACTTTTTTATTAAGGGAATTTGGTGGGAAATAAACAAACTCAGTTTTGAATTCCTTCCGTTTGATAGTAAGCTGCGCTTGTGTCTGCGCTTAACCCCCCCCCCCTTTCTTTTTCTCTCTCTCCTCCCTCCAGCTGAGATGATTGATAAGCTGACCCTCACCTTCAACCGTACCAGGCAGGCTGTCATCACCAAGGAGCTCATTGAGATCATCTCCGGAGCTGCTGCCCTGTAAGTTCTCTGTCCGGTCGTCAATCTTGTTGACGCCACCCCCATCCCCCCACCTCCCTTTGCATAATCTTCCTCTCTTCTTTATCTCCGACTACTCTGCTAAAAACCTCCATTCATTCACTCCTGTATTTTCCCGACTCACCCCCTCATTATGATCCTCTTTCTTCCTGGAAACTTTCTAACCTTTTGAACCCCCCCACCCCTCATCCTTGGCTCTTAATGTCTTTGCACCGTCATGTTTTTTTTTTGATGATTAATTATTCCATCTGACTCATCTACTCCTCCTCACCCTCTGCTGAACTCAGGACCTAAAGCTTGTTTCAACAGAACAGAGGAGGTAACACGGTGGAGTAGCTTAATGTCAGCTAGTTTTTAGCTGTAGGATCGTCTGCATTTCATCTCTACACGTAACAGGCTAAGTGCCTTTTGTAGACAGTAGTTTAAACCGAGCCCTGTTTAGATTTTGTCTCTGCCTTCTGCGCTCTCACACTTTGTTTCCTCTCTTTGCAGATAAACCGGCGACATCATCGTTCCCATCGCCGATAGCTCTTCAAAGTACTTTGGACACGTCGTTGTCGAGTCTAATGAATATTTGTGCTTCTATTTGTAAAATATAAGGAGAAAATAAACCTCTTACGCAGACCTGTCACCTGTTTATCAGTCCATGTGTCTATTTTCCTCACAATAAAAGCTGATAACTGATATGGATGTTTCAGTTAATGATTTCCTCATGATTTCCTTGCATTAATAAGAGGCGTTTGACATTAGTGTCTACATGGAAACAAGTCTGAAGGTGTTTTTCTGCTTCTCAAAGTGGAAGGTGGATTAATTATAGCTGCATTTCTAAATGTCACTATCACATCACTTCATTTGGTGTCTTGTTTCAGGAAGTTTGTATACCTGCTTAAGTCAAAGCAATCAGCTGAATAACAGGTTGAAAATGTACGTCTTTACAGTGTCACGATAACTGGTTTCCATTCTAATATTTCTGAAAGACGGAAACAAATGAAGTGCTTGTTTAGGTAGCTGTTAGCTAGAAAATGGCTATAAGTTACATGTAATTTAAAAACTTCTCTTTAGTGAACATTTCAATGAGATAAGATCCATTCTGCCAAGGGAACATCCTTTGTGAACTGCATTAAAAAAAAAAAAAAAGATTAAAAAAACAAAGTTGAAGTTAAATTGGAACGATGAACATTTACTGCTTACAGGTCTTGTTCCCCCTCTGCTGTGTTTCAGCCGTTTCTAGTCTATACAACAAAGATGGACTCTTAGTTCTGACTACATAACAAGGATTCTGTATGAGAAGAAATGGGAAAGATTAAAAACATCCAAGGGCACTTCTAATAGATAGTTTTATGGATTTTGGTGTGAGTACAGCAATAGCTTAAGGGCATGTGAATAATTTGAGTGTTTTGGGATCATCAGTAAAGTGTCAGTGTTGCTTGTAAACATGGTTCTCCTCAGGTGATTAAATGGAAAAACATACTGAATGAAAAAAAGAATAAAAAAGGCACCTTTCCATATGATTTATTTCTCCAATTTATTATCTTTTTGCAATAACTAAATCAAGGGCAGTAACTTTCCAATATACATCAGACATTCATTTTGTTGTATCCACAGACATCTTTCTCTTTTTTGGCGAGGCAAAAGAGAAAAAAAATTCAAACTTTTTATGCAAACTGTGTGATAAGTGTCTTTTTTTTGTAATACCTTCCTTATTTGTCTCTGCTTAGTGCGCCTGACGTGGCGGCGTTGAGCTCGCTGCTGTTTGTCCAAGCTCCACCAGGCTGTGCTGTCTGATAAGAAATGCCATGCTTTTTGGCCTCAAGCAGCTACTGGAATCCTCTTGAAACAAAAAAAGTGGCCCTTTTGAGCTCATAAGAGGGAAATAAAGCTTGTTGGTTGCACGTGGCAAACCGTTTACTCGCTGCGTCAGATTTAATAGCTGATCTGAGAAATCATGTGGTTTCCCATGTTAATGCCGACTGACATCGGATGTTTTGGTCTATAGCAACGGTTTCTTCCAAATATAGACAGAAACAGAAGATCCTTGTGGTTTTCATTTATTATTGTGCATGCTTTTGTGTGTTCCCGCATCTCTGTGTGTGTGTGTGTGCATACACGTCCCGCAGACCTTGTTTGTCTATTGTATTTGAGCTTGTTATTGTTTACTCCTGAGGGGAGTTGGGAGCGATTGCATCTGAACACTGAAATTACAGCGATGCCAGACTCTGATAAACGCAGTCAGGGAGCAGCAGCCTTCTCATCTCCCCCCTCGGTGGCGAGGCACCGACAATCCGGCAACGCACGGAGGCGGGGGGACAGAAGGTGAGGGAATGGGTGGAGCTGGTGGAGGGGGGGGGGTTTGGCGCCCTAAGAGTTATTGTGGTAAATTTAGGAATTTTCTTAGATTCCGGGTCTGTTTTACTTTCAGATGTTTAAAGTGAGACTTTCGAGTAAATAGGGAACCAGGAAGTCCGGTAAAAAGGCCTATGGAACTGAGTGTGGCCTGTTCCCCCTTTTTTGAGGGGCCAGCATGAAGTTTGGGAACTTTTTGGCACACCGTAACTTGCCCCGATATGTCTTGATGGCTACAACTTGGGTTTATGTTTTCATTACTCTTGGCATCAACAGCTTAACTTAAGACTCTTGACACAGCTTATCAAAGTAATTTGCCATTTCAACTTATGGATAATATTTATGTGAAATAAATCTGAGATAAGTCTCTAATTCTGCCAATGGGTCAAAACTCACGGCCAACAATGCAGACTTAGATTTGAAGTTCTTACAGAACTTCCTGAAACAGAGTGGAGACAAAGTTAACAATTTTCAGATGTGTCATGAAACTTGGCAGCAAGACGAAATCGGCAGCTCTCGTGCAGCATGAACACTTGTTGGGCCCCTTGGGTCTCTATGATATAATCCCAAAGTTCAAAGCAGAAATAATCCGTTTTACAGCCTGGCGCATAGAACTGTTTCGATATCTACGATCGTATGTCCTTCCTACATTCATTCTTTACATTTGAGCTTTGAATAAAAGCAGCTGAGGAACAGGTGTCAAGAGAGCTTAAAAGAAATCACCAGATGGAGCAATTACGATGTTAAGATATCTGATTTGAATAGGAGATTCAGATCCTTGTTTTCTTGATAAAAGTGCTGCATGATTCTGGCTAGAGGTTCGCTGAAAATTCTCCAAAAGACGCCCGTAGTGCACGGCGTGGGCATTCTGACCACAGGTGTTCTAAATGTTATCAATACATGTGCAACATCTCAACATTTACCCAATTTACTATTCTGTTTTTCAACTTTTGGGACCCATGCATAGAAAAACGGGACCCTATTTGGAGGGTTTTGGGAGGGGGGGAATCCTGTCCTATTTTACTCTATAAGATCTATGCTGTCAGTCACCCGTTTGAAATCCTGTCACCAGCTGGCTTCCCAGCATCAATGGGCTTTTAAGAAGTTTTTTGATGATGAAGCTAAGCAACCTTGTTGGCTTGAGAAAATCAGATATTTCTTTCAGGTAACAACAAGGAAGAGAGACTTAGGCATATAGAGCACTCAAATGGTGGTGGAGCTCACCAGCCAGCTCCTGATGGTTGAGCCTTGGTCCAAAAAGTAGACAGGAGAGCATCACACTGTTGGGTTACATTTTTTAAGTTGGGTGCAGTGTGGTCTGGATGGCAGGCAAGGTTTGGGGCCGATACCCAGCGTCATAAACTGGCTCGCGGGATGTGTTAACATCACCTCACCTTTGGGGAAGGAGTTGGTGTAGGAGGATGACCTGACTTGATATAGCTTGGCTTACCTTCACACACAACCCCGGCTTCTTGAGCCAGACTCCTGGATAGGGGCTTGACTTGTCCACCGAGGAGAGAAAACACAGTTGAGATGTGTGTTTTTTTTCTGAAGGCAGCTTTGTGAGACCCAAGGAACCGCTCCCTCAGCTCGCGATTTCCAAGAGTTATGACCGCAAACCAAAATTCCACCTTCAGTTCACTCTTTATGGAGATTGGACCTTGGCTACAACCGGGACCCTACTGTGGCAAGGTGAAGTGTGGGGGAGTTCGTTGACCCAACTACCCTGGAGCAAGGCTAGCTGGGAATTTCACCCAGGGAATCATACACTAGTTTCTAGTTCTGCTAACCACACTACCTTCCTAGGTGTCACACAATTTGAACAAGCTTGAAAGTCAATATTGGGGGAGGACTCATCGCTCTTTCAGACCTGATTGTCAGTCCACTTCTTGTGCCATTTAGAATACCTCAGCCTTTTCCTCAATGCTAACACGCTAACCCCTCAACAAAGCTCACAATTGGCTTTATGCACTCTGATTCTTCAGTTATTTTTCCATTTTCCTTGCGAAATCGGTAAATCGCGTTGCCCTGATTTGACAGCTGGCACCGTCATGAAAGTGGAGAGAAAAAAATAAAAAAATGGGGGACGTGCGGGGTAAAAATGGGTGTGTTTCGAACGAGTGAAGACATCCGAACATTGTGTTGGCGGGCCTCGCCGCGGCTCTGTATTAGCTTCACCTCGTTATCGCTATCGCCCTCCTCCATTGTGGCATGACGGCCAGAAAATGATTAGAGGAACGGGTGACAATGGAGGCAGAGATTTCTGCCGACACCCGGGGCAGTGCCAGTGTCAGGTACAGCAGCATTACACTCAAAAGACGGGGCGCACAAAAGAGCCCCCTTTTTTACTTTAAAACACGCACGGGGTAGTGGGGGGGGGGAGGGGGGGGGGTGGGGGGGGGGGGGGGGGGTTCCAATTGACTCCTTCCAAGCGCTTCATCGTTCCCTCAGGTAATCAAAGAGAGAGGGATGAGAGCTTCAAAAAGGAAAGGCATTTTCACTCTTCCACTCTCTTTTCTCCCGGCCCTCAACTCCTTTTTTTTTTCTTCTTCTTCTTCTGAGAGATGCGGTGAGAACAGGAAGCGAGGTTGAGGTTGTTTCCCACGATGAAATTTGTCCGTGTGAGCGACGTGGACTCTGATGTAGTAACGTCGAGGCATTATCTCATTTATACCCCCCCCGTTACTATTCTTATCTCAGTGCGTTCTCCTCTCTCTTTCCTCCTCCCCCCCCCCCGCTTCAGCCTTACACAAAGCTATCTGCTCTGTGGACTTTTCTGACTATTTATGTCGGACAAGGTCAGGATCGTTTAAACCGCTCTGCCTCTCTCGGCCCCCGCAGATGAGATAGCGCGAGAGGAAGGAGGGAGAAAACGATCGATTCCAGTCGGCGCGCAGATTTATTCCCCTCTCGCTTTCCCCCTTCATGTTTCCCTCTCGTTCTCGTCCAGGAGGGGAGGGGTCACCGCTGCCTCTCGCTAACCCGCCAGGCTCATCAGTCTCCTTAACACCAGAGGCGTTTAAAATACAGTAGCAGCCCCCTTAAACTGGCCACTTTTCTCCCGGCCCCATAGAGAGCCGTCCTCCCATCAATCCGGCCGGCTCGGGTTTCTTAAGGAGCGTGAATGGTGAGGCCTGTTGAGAGCGGGAGAGGAAGAGGTTTAGACAGGGGGAAGTGGCAGTCTGCATCTTTCACGGGGGCATTTCACAAATGAAGTGGGGCACTTATTCAGCCTGGCGTGTGTGTGTGTGTGTGTGTGTGTGTGTGTGTGTGTGTGTGTGTGATTGCGTGGCAGGCTCTCTTTGAGAGCGAGAGGCCAAGCGTTGGCTTTGGACGTCGCAAATTTGTTGATCTCACCGATTGCGAGGTGATTCTCGTCGAGGATCGCAATTGCAATTGTCAGCTTTTTTTTAATTATTATTATTTTTTCCGTCCCTTTAACTGCGGATCTCCGTGTTTGAAGAGCTCCGGATCCATCCAAAAACCAGGATGAACACTGATAGCTAGCTAGTCAAACCCACCCATGTGTGTGGAGACTGATCGTATCGTCTCGTTACATTCATTTCGCGGCGAGGTTTTTCTCATAGACGGTCGGTGTTCCGTGAAGCTGCGACTCGTCGAGCTTTGTCTGAGCGAGCGTTTTGGAGAAAAAGGCTTCGCATATGTCTTCTTTTATTGTGCGTGAGAGTGTGTGAGTGTGTGTAAGTGTGTGTGTGTAATCTTCTGCCACTCATGTCTTGGGTTACTGTGTTTCTGGCTGCATGATAGATGGCTCGGCGCTGCCCCCGGATGCCCCCGCAGCCTCTGCTGCCGGACAGCATGTCACCGCCAGTTTCCGCTAAATGCACGCGTCGGCGTTTTTTTTTTGAGCGGGATGATGGCCACGACTCTCAGTTTTGCCTGGGCCGGTTCCGACCCCCCACTGCAACAGGATAGGTGGGTTGAGGATGCCCTGGCAGTGTGTTTGAAGTGGCAATACGCTCGTGTGTGTGTGTGTGTGTGTGTGTGTTAAACTGAACAAGGTCCATGTCCTGCTGAGTGTGGCGGCCCCAGCCCTTTCCTGTCCAGACCACACGTCTAACCAAAACCCAATGTGTCCTCATGTTTCTCTATGTGTGTGCTCATGAGCCTTCCTGTTCAGGAAGGACCACAGCT